TAAGTGCATCAAATAAATATTTATTACAAATATATAAACCACGCTGTCAAAAAAAAACTGAACTAAAAATAATTACCTCTAAGGTCGGATATTACCCTTTTCACATGTGTCACTCGGACTGGGTTATCTCTGTCCCAACAATGCTTGCCCTACAACATCTACAGTTCAGGAACTCCAGTTCCCACTGCCTCCCCCCACCCACCCCAGGAGATTTCGAAGTTTATAGTCCGGTCTGAACTATCTTAGTTCACCATACTTCCCTCCAGCAACAGCATGAGCATGAAGTGGAGAGAGTTTCCATCATCAAGTTAGTTTGTCTGTACAGTTTTTAACGCCCTCTACTTCCTATGCCCGTGCGAATGCCAAATTTGTAAAGGTAACTGTTCACAAACTCCTGCGTTTTAAAACGTTAAACAGATTTAAAATTCTTTGGACGTATTTTATTCTCACAAAAAAAGACCCTTCCTTTGTATATATATATTTTTTAAAAATAAAGAAACTAAAAGAGACTTTAAACATAGCTCACGAGCTTTCTAAGTGACGAAGTTGTTTTTTTGGCATGTTAATTTGTTTGGCATCTGACAGTGTTTGAAACACACGAAGTGACTGCTAAAAAGATCTCGGGAAGCTGTTAGGCTCTGCAGTCATACAGCATTTCTTTTCTTCATCATCAGTTATCTCAACATGAGAACAGAACTCTTTGCCTGCAGATTGTATCAGAAAGCTTTGGTTGTTTTAGAAACCTACTACTATTTACATCATTTCAACAGACACAGTTGCATAAATGAATACAAGATTCGAGAAACTCTACATCAGACTGATCAAAAGAAAATCACAACACATGAACCATTTTTTTTCTTGCAAGGAATACTGACACACACCATAGCAGAGGATGGCTTACCCTGTAAAAAGACTACTTTTAATTTAACACAAAGGCCCAGTTTAATTTCAAAAGAAAAGTCAGGTTTCCTAGCACAACCACTCTACTAATCCTATACAACCCCCCTCAATCTTCAAAATACTTCTTCCTCGAGCGCATCAGAGTTCTGCCAAATCTACAAAATAAATAATTATAAAGCTTTGAAGTAACGTTAACAATTATCAAACTATTAAGTTCTGCCTTATCACATAGACTCTCTATACAACATAACCCTAAAGATTCATTACTATGAGGTATCTTGAGAAATTGGTAAAGAATGCACGGCCTGCGTTGTGTGAATACTCCAGGACGCAAAAAAGAGCTTTGGTTGTCAGCAAAAAAGTGGAAATATCCTTTGGTATCAAAAAAAGTTTCATTGCATGGTTGCACTGCAAAGCACCACGGTGAAGAATTATTCCATTTTTTTAATAGTGGCCTTTCGAGAGGCTGAGGTATTCAAGAGTAAGGTGAGAAGAGGTCAACAGCGGTTTCACACTTTGGTTTAAGCAAGGCACTCGTCCTATGATTTTACAAGTTTTGCAATATGTTTGCCTATAGCTTTTTTTTAAATGAAGAAAACTTCACACTGAGTGACAGTTGAGGGTTTAAGGAACGCCGAGTAACCCACTCACGAAGGCCGTGCAAGAAAAATCTTTGGTATTCTTTGGTATCATCACTGTGATTAAAATCACGAATGGGAATCGAGTGAGGTAGCGTCTTTGGTTCACACTATAAATAGTAGATCTTTACACATTTTTACACGTGGAAGCAGCTATTTTACCTTTGCTTCTTTGTCTTAATACTAGTAAATGATTACCAAATGTATCTTAAAGCTAACCACACCACAAGAAACACAAGGCCAGAATATTGTTAAAATCCGGATTATTATCCGTCGCAATGGCCTCCTGCGTGCGAACGCACCTGGCTAAATGTCACCTTTGAAAAATCACTAGTACATTCTCCTTGTTCCGGGAGCTGTTACTTTTCTTAATGTTAAAACTTTGCACAATTTTCTTTGGTGGCTGTAGAAGGGGAAGGGGTGGGGAAGAAAAGGGTGGGGGCTATGGGCCAAGAAAATTTAAAAAATACTCCTCAAAAGTTTGAACGGAGTTAGCAGGGGAAAATGTCACTCCAGAGAAGTGTGCGAAATTGAGAAAATGTACACTCAATAATCTCTTTATATTTTGAGGACGAGGGTTGGGAGATTGAGCAGATACACAAAATAACACAGAAATGCCTCCAACTAAAAATGGCTGGGAATCTCTATATATTTCCTAACGGTGTTAATCTCAGCTTTTTAAAAATGCAATATGCTTGCATCTTTTTTAAATAGAAGGACACCTGCCGAGCACTTTCAAAACGGTAGGGTTCCAGACTAAGTGGCAGTAATCAAAAAGTGTAAAAAAAGTTATGACCCTTTCCCTTCTGACAAAGAGAGAAAGGGGAATTTCTTCCGCGGTTTCAATGCACCAATTATATATTTTCTTCCGGCCCCCAGTTGTGGCCTCCAGTTTATCACTTCGTGACATAATTATCTCCTGTTTCTTTGTGGTTCTTTTGAATATACATTCCATAATCCCCATTTGACAGTTATAGGTTTTAGAATTGATGTTGTGAAACAAAGCAAAGTTGAAGATGAGCTTGTACTTTGGGGTTTCGCTTGCGTGTTAAATTGGACTTGAGGCAAGCAAGTGGTTGAACTTATTGTTGATTTTTTAACTTGAAGCTACCACGGTCACCATTGTTGACTAGAGTCAATCCTTGTCATTTATGCAAGACATATGTCATTTATTTTGACAAGCTGTAATAAATGCCATGCCAATGAAAGGGCCATGCTACATTAACAACATCAACAACAGCGGCAGGCTTGTTAAGGCAAATTAAACCATGCTCTTCTAGACCTGAGATTGAGTTTCAGTGTCCCTGGGCGAACCTGCTTCGAATTTTTTGTACGGGTGTTTAACTAATTTCGTCTATCCCGTTTATAATCAACATGTTACTATTGGTGTGTCACGCCTTACGTCCCATTAAAGCTAAAGTTTGTATCGTGACCCGGTTCAGTTGAAGACAGAGCGAGGTGACAACGAGAGTATCCTGAAGGTGGATACCAAAATAATTGGGTTGGCGTACAAAATGGCTGCCTTTCCACTGTAGCTCGCCGACTTGTAACACAAGTGCAATGTTCCTGAATATAAAAGTTATCTTTGGTTTTTAGCAGAGTCTATATATGTTTTTTTTAAAGCACAAAGGGTAATAAGTAACCGCAACCGGGTGACTGAACAGTTGCATCTTGTCAAGGATGGTTCACATCTTGACTTAAAACCTGAAACCTATCTTGTTCAGCGTCCCAGACCTGTATGCCACAGAGATGGATCTCTCTGCTGTTTCACTTTGGAAAACTAACCTGAATCACACAACAACGTTAAACTTTAACAGTATTTCAGCAGTAAAGTGCCTCCATTTTAATTGGCGCATCGAAACTGTTCGATAGCCTTGCTGTCAGCTTTTGGGAAAAGGGAAGTAGAAAAAAAAAGTTCTATCATTGTACAGACTTCATGGAGTTATACATAGTGGCTTCCCGGATCCACGCAGGTCAGTGTTGTGTAATCGATTATGGGTTGGTTGGTATAGATGGAGGAGGGGGTGGGGCAGGGGTAGGGTCAGTGTGCATTTAATAAGGAGTTACATTTCCTGTGCTACTTGCTATCTTCACCAACAATTCACAGTTTGGTTTTCTTTTGAATATGTAATGATTTTTATCCATATTTTTGAATAGCGAATCGTTTTTCAGGTTGACTTCCAACCTCACCCCCCCCCCCATACATTGGAGCTACGGTATTGGTTTAACATTTATCAGGGGGAGTTAAGAGCCTTTGCCCTGCAGAGACATATTGCAAAATAAATAACAGCAGCCACATCTTTGTCTTAAATGGAATAATTTCATATGGATTCAAATTTAGGCGAATTTGATATAATTGTTGCTTCCGAATATGGATCAGAATAATATGTGGTAGACACATCAGGAAAAAGACTTGGGATAGTACTAATTAATGTGTTGTAACAATGTGTTCAATGGAGCATCATGTCCATCAGCGTGTTTGACAATAGGGAGCCAATTGGGAAAAGAGCACCCCACCCCCACCACCCCGCCCCCTTAAACATGTTTCCTTTTCCGTTTAGCGAATTGGATAGCAAGGAACAGGAGTACAATGATTCCTAAGTGAAGTGATCCTTACATTCCTGTCAGGTTTTTGTTTTATACTTTTAAAAGACTTTTTTTTTTCAAATGCAATGCGGTATCTTTAATTTAGTGTGCAAAATACATTCGAGTAGAAAATAAAACGAAATGGTGGATTTCATTGTAGACTCCCAATAAAATTAATACTTGTGCTTTTTGAGAAATATCACTGTCATTTACCCTGCTCTTTGTTATCCAACATAACTCACTTCTATGACACTGGGTTTAGTATTAAAGCTTTTTTTTGGCTTTTAGCTGTTGCATTTGCTCCGCCCGAGGAACAAGGAGGATGTACTAGTGTGAGGTGACAGAACAGCTCTCAGAGCGTTGAACATTGTGCTCCCAAAATCGGAGCTTCCGTGTTCAAACTGCAAAAGAGCTAGAATCCAATCACATTCCAACTTGAACACAGACGACTCCACAATTGTACCGTTATGCCTGAGCACAACCTGCAGACCAGCCCCATCTGAAGTCTCTGGCCACTGACACGTACACTGTACTTTTAACAACATACACCTTCATGGTATATCCGTTGAAATGAAATGGGTCAACGTTTGGAGTAATGTTCTTTTCATAACACCATGACGATGCTCCCAACGACTTACAGTCACACACGTTGAATGATGCAGAGTGAGGAAGGTGTACGACCAGCGGCATTTTTTTTTGCAAAAGTCATAATAAAGTGTTGTAGAACGGAGTCCTAATGCAGGTCAATTAAGTCTTTGGTTTCGTTGGACATATAAATATTATATTGTCTTTTAGTTCGATAATTAAACCTGCTATCTGGAGGTCCTGGTCATTTATTTTAAAGCTATTCCACCGAGGTTTAGTCCGGGGTCTCCTTCATGCTTTGGTACAAGTGCTTGATGAGGAAGATGAGTTGACTGAGTTGGTGCTGCCGTCATCCTGCCACTTATCCAAACTCCTCCGACGTGCGTTCATAAAGAAATTGCTGACGGTGCTCAGCTCCAAGCCCAGTTGCTGGGAAATGGTTATTTGCAATTCTTTGGACGGACGCTTGTTTTCCTTGAATATTGCGTGTAGAGTTCTGCGCTGAACGTCTGTGAAGACCAGCCGAGGTTTCTTAGGCGCGGCGCCCCTCTCTTTTCCGTGCTCCTGCTCTTTTCTCTTGCAGGCTGCAAAGCAAAGACGTAAAATGAATCGATGGGCCAGTTACAACGCGGCAGGACAGATCAGACAGTTTCATAGTCAGAAACAGATGTAATGATCTAAACGCTATCGAGTTGCATCATTCAGGCCTTAGTTTTCAAATAAGATCGCAATTAGTCATTTAACAATCGGAGATTTCTTCCTCGAGGAGCTATTTGTCAATTTCGGATCGATTACTGACAACGGTTTCAATGTAACCAATTGGATCTGAGTGGGGGAACTGACTAAACGGAAGTCGTCAGTAAAGGAGACCTTTGTTGCAAAATGTAAATATAGGGATAAACTTACACAAGCGGCAAGATCAAAGTAGTTCCACTGTAAGAAATAGTTTAGTATTTTATAAACAAGGAGGTTTCAACAACATACTTTGCACAGGAACCTTACGAAAAGCAGTATTAGGGTTATGAACCGGCCAATGCGGGCATCCAACTCGTTCTGCACTCCCCCCACTTTGCTAATTTTGTCGATCCCATCTGTCTCTGAGCCCAAGTTTATAACTTCAGGTTCCTTTCAATCCATTACTCTTTCGATCAACGTTTCAGTTTGGGATACCCTGTACCTGACATAATTTTGCCTCCCAACCTGATACATCGCATGACCAGAAGCAAATAAACCGATGTTTGATTTTTCATTTTATATGACGGAGTAAACTCCATGGAATCAGTATCGTTGTTACCAAAGAAACGGATGACCGTTTCTACACCAGTGCCAATAACAGCAAAGTGTCATTACTGGATAGCACAGTACGTCAGATGTCGCGGTACTGAATGAATTCAATCTATTGATGTAATTAAAATCTAATGACTACGTTGAAAAATAAACTATATATTGAAACAGTCTCGATTAACTTGATACACATAATTGTAAACTATAAATTTAGATCGACTTCTGAAAATCTAAGTGAAATTGACAGTTTCTGCTGATAGATTAAATAAAATTGTACCAACATGCCTCCATCTATTGTTCGTTTTACATATACAATACAAAACAAATATTTTAAACCCTAAACCCGCACAGGAGACCCGTCCAATAGCACAATGGAGATTTTTTCAAATTGCTGGGATATTGGTTAGAATGCAGTCTTGTTTGTAGAATTCACTCTGTTTGATTAAAAGGTCTCAGCTGTCAATGACTACCATGTAAAAATGAGATATAGCTGAGGCCACTGAAAGGTGCTTCAGTAGAGGGCAACAGTGTCAGGAGTTGAGAGACACACTCCACTAGAGAGAAACCTAATCTGCCGCCCCAGGTAGAGAAAACTGACAAATGACATTTTTCACAGAAATAACGAAGTGAAATAAAGGGATATCCACCAGAACTGCATCACTTAAAATTGTTGCTTTTAAAAGGATGTGATTTTGAAGCAATATTTTTGTATGCCAATGGAGAAAGTGAACCTGCGAGAGGAGCTGTCCGTGGTACTGAACGCTGCCTGCACGTTCTACTTGACCAGCTGCAGCGCGGGTACCTTTTTAACAGCAGTCTTGCACAATAAAACGCAACCCTGCACTGGATGACTTTTAAAGTTAAAATAATAACCCGATTCATCTCTAATCCGAGCATATTTTCAAAGCAGAATTAGTTGAAATCTTCGTTAAGAAGTTGCATTTATCTCTGTTTGATAAACTTCAATGGGATTAAACCTTTGAGGGTCAAACAACAGCGCGGCGGCGCCCCATGCCACGAGACTGCTGCATCTAGTCAAGCGTCAGTGTTTACTCTTTGCACTAAATTGCGTGAGCTTCACCTCGCTGTTCGCTTCTGTAGACGTAAGTGTTTGTATCGATAAATATCTATTCCAGTTCATGACGTCGGGAATTGAAACCACAGATTCATCCATTAGATGGCGCAGTGGTCCTTTGGAAAATATCGGTGATTCGAAAACTCTGACTAATAACTCATTTGGTCTTATTGTATGAATCAGTTTCAGGGACGGGTGGAACTTGTAGGCACGCTACGATAAATCCTCCACACTGCCACGTTTTCGTTGTGGAGGAGGACTGACAGAACAGAAAGACTCATTTAAGATCAAAGAGGGAAAAATAAGACACACACACTACCCATTCATATTTGTAATTTGCTCTGTTTGGATACACTAATAAGATACTATAATGAGATGATTTTGAGATTCACCATTGGAATATTTTAGCATTGGATGTGACAACACGTCTTCTTATCGAGTAAACACGTGAGTTTAATTACATTCAAAATCCTCCTAAAATATCGCTCCTTTTATAGCAAGCTAGCAACATGGCAGTGCAAGAAAGACCTTATCTGAACAAGCAATACTTTAAGCGAAAATCAACTGATAGGCATATTTGTTGGGAATCTTTCCGCTGGGAATCTTTGGCGACACTGACCAAGGCGAAATGGGAGAATGCCTGAAATAATGAGTTTACATGTGATGCAAAGCTCCCACTGAAAAGCTCGAAGCTCTATCATTTGCCTCTCTCTAATTGCTTCTACGTCATTTGACCCAAATCAATCACTTCGCTCAAATTAGACATAGGCAGATAACACTTTAAACTTCATCATTTACCTATTAATTACAATCGTCGTCATCTTCGCAAGTGCAAAAAGCTATCAATGGTGATTTTAATTATTTACTGAAATCTAATCGAAACAACGACGGTTGCACAAATGGCCGGAGAATGAACAAACAGCAGCCTATAATTCTACTCTGACTTCAACAGTTTGGCCGTATATCTTGCTTAGAAAATCTATTGTGCACCGCAACCACTGGTGAAAATCTGCATTCATAGTATTAATTTCTCACATAGACTTCACTTAATCTTGCAGGTAGAATAAACTTCATGTTTCCAAAATTATGCCACATTTTAAAATTGTTATAATGATCTTTAACGTGGAGATTGCATTGCCTGCCGGAATATCAGTAACATCATTTAAATGCTTGTAAACGCCTTCAGTTTAGCCAAACATTAACAGAAAACAAATGTGGCAGGGTATTAGCTAGTTATAAATCAATGAGGCTACAAGGACACTGACAAGCAAAAATCAGGAAATGTCACAGGTGTAGAACTTTCCCAGAGTTCAGCTATTTAGCTTAAAATATTCCAGAACTCGTATCGAATCTCTTATCATTAGAAAGCAAACAAGCAAATCGCGTGCAAACAGTGGGAGCCAATGTTTTCATATGTAACTAAACGTTTATGAGAACACCCCAAAATGCTTCCAGTTAAAATGTGTTTGTTCTATCTCACAAAGAAAACTGTCACACTGTCAGGGAGTTGGCTGAAGTAGGTTTCGGCGCTAGTCCAGAAACAGGCGTCTCTTCACTTGCGGACAGCTGAATTTGGCTTAGAATTTTAATTAAAACAATTAATCACAAGAGATCTGCTCCCCACCCGCCAAAAAAATCCTAAGTTCTGGAAACATCGTGCCCCGTGGAAGATACACTTGAAGTGATTAAACATTTCTGGTTTCTAAGCAACGCACCAGATACGTAAAATAATAAATTATATACAACTTTGTAAAAATAACTTGCTTACACAACTTAAATTTGTCACTAAAGTATATAGCGGGTGCAACTAGCTTGTCACCTGCGTTTTATTATTGTCTAATCGAATTCCAGAAGGAATTCAAAACAATGCATTTCTCGCACGTATGATGTACACTCGCCAGTTTGCATTAGTTGCTGATGCCCAACAGCCTTAGAAATACCGTTAGGAGCTGGAAATTAGAGGGGAGGAAAATGACTAAATATATAATGTATCTTTTTTCTACTGTCCTGAAACAAATCCTATATTATCTCAATGTTTCAGCTGCACCAATAAACACATTGTAACCCATTTTACTCTCTGCTCCTATCGTGCTGCTTGGCCTGCTGTGTTCATCCAGCTCTGCACCTTGTTGTCTCGGATTCACCAGCATCTGCAGTTCCTACTATCTCTGATTACATTTTAAAATGTGTTTGATTCAAAGCGGTTGAAATGTACGCCAGTTACATTTGCACTTGCGTGTGCTCTGTTGTGTTTACAAATCTTTGTTTGGAATGAGCAATTTAGTAAATGAGAAGAAATTGCCAACAGCCACAGTGGCTGTAATCACCTGGCATCATTGTCCTCGGTTTTTGTAAAGAAACAAAATTTACAAATTGAGTCTCAAACTACATGTCACCCCTGAAACCTGGCTCATTATTTTGTTCACGTCACCGTTTAATGTGTCGAAACTGGAACACTGACGTGCTAATATATTCAAATACCGATTGAAAGGCTCATTTACATACAGAGGCCTCCTGGCGTAATTTAGTTAAAGTAGTTGCTATCTAAACTGACTCCAGATTCCTGTCTATCCATTTCAGCGGAATCCCGAATTTCCACGCGCAAAAGACCCGACTCAGTTAAGTGGGAAAAATACACAGTACAATTAAGTGCTTTTAGTTTGTCTGCAAACGTACCAACCAGTGGGAATTATGAAATAATGTTTACTTGGATTGAATTAATATATTTGCAAATATTGTCAATACTAACCAGCGCTGCTAGCAGTAGCGATAAAACCGTACACTCCGAGAGTTTTTAAAAACCATTCAGAGCGTTTTGAAAGCCAAGCCACCTCGATAACGTCTAACACAGCCCCGACCAAAGCAAAACTATTGCAAATACTCCACCACAAATAATGCCAGGTCTTAAAAACAAAACTCATTTTACATTTCATAGAGATTCAGTTCTGTAGACGTGGTTATATGGTTGCACTCGATTAATTGGAATATTGTGAAGCAGTTGTCAGACGATTTTTGCTTTTGGCCGGTGTATGCTACACTTTGTAGAGATAATACTTTCTTGTTCCAGGGGCAGCTGCCAATACGTGCCGAGATTCCCCCGAATGGGCCATTTGAGTTGTTTGCCAATCGCCTGGAAACTTGCTCCTTGTTTTTGTTTTTACGATGGGATACTTCTTATTATGACCAGAAGAAAATTTATTTGTTGAAAAGCATTTATTCCGTCAGTTCAAGATTTATACTGTGCCAATATAAAGTGTAGATACTAAGTGCTACCCACTTTTTCATTTATTTAAGAAAACCAAACAAAACGTAACTTTAAAAAAATCCTGCATTGAAATTTTTTTTCAAAGCAAACGTGGATAAAATGGGGATAAGTCTGGGTTTGAAAAATGACGAAGAAGAAACAAAATGGAGGCTAGGGAGGTCAGATTTGCAATTAGTGTCCTGTGCTTGGATTTGAAGACAGTACAGGAAGTGTCAAGACCTCAATATTCCTTACATGTAACTACCAATTTTTAGACTGTTTGCGGGAGGCTCAATGTAATCTCGGGGCTAGGAATTCCCAAGGGAGCCTCGCGAAGAGGCAAACACAAGGGGTTGGCTGGACAAAGCAAGGAGGGAGCCATATGAATAACACATTTCACTTAGCCATAAAATTGTTTCAGCGCCTTCACAGAAGGACTGTTTTTTTCTGTTTTTTTAAAATTAATAACAGCCCTTATATAAAGCAATGAAGCCGACTGCTGTTCAGGTGAGGCTGAAATGAAAACGGAAATCACTCCCGGTTAGCAGCTGTTTAACAGCTGAACTTCATTCAGTTTGAGGGATTCGGTGTATAAACACATAGCAATAAGGCGTCTAAATCAATAAGTACTCGAATACAACATATAATTCATAATTTCTCTGTGGGCATATTTTTACGTGAATTGTTCAGTCACATTTCGGTGGCAAATTTTGATCTTTTTTTTCTTAAAACCACGTCGGCAGAAACGCGGGTATGATACATAAATATAGATCATATATTCAGACAAGCATTTTATGTCATTGTCCATTTAAAAGACCACTTGTGTTTTTCGGTGTAAAATAATGAATGAATTGACTGAGTAATATATCACAGGTTAGGACACAATTGTCTGGCTCTCCATCAGGCTGGTGAGCTTAGCGGCGATAAGTATAATGATCAAACGTAAACATTTACTACTTAACGGACGCACAAAAGGAATTGTAATGTCTGAGAATATTGCAACCACATAAGCTCCTTTGAAGGCCAGAGCGAACTTAAAGAAATGCATATTAATAAGGTAAACAGAAAGGTTTTGTGGTTAAAGAGGCGATTAGCAAAACAAATCAGCAAAGTGAGCATTTCTATTGAAATGTAGACGTGACCTGTTCTAACATCAGCCGGCCTTCCTTGGCAGCATTTACCTTCAGATAACACCCATAAGACTCGGCAACATATTCTAATTCAAGTGGTTGTTTCCAGTATCGATCCATGCAAATAAATGGAGGCTGAGGTCGACAAAATTGTCGTAAAAATACACTCAAGGCAGCGTCTAAAAATCGAACAACGCGAATGTTATCAATCGTTCGATGGAGATTTCTTGGCGAGCTATTTACTCAACCGTACGCATGCTCTTAGAGCGATTGGATTTGGATTTTAATTATAGGACACGAGGAGCTTAAAATAGGTCAGTTTATAAATAAATGCACATATGGGTTACGTTTGCCCTTTTGCTATCTGAAGTTCGCCATCCTAGTCTGACTTCCCAGCCGAACGCTGCTGTCGTTTTTGAGAGTAGTCCAACATTTGCCAGTATACGTTGAGCTTAGCATAGTACTTTCCGAATGAAGGAGATGAAACCACAATTTTTTTTTTGCCACAGTTTAATCCTTTCTCTCAGAAATTAGGGAATTAAAATTTTAACGCGCTGTCTAGCGTTTGAAACCCCGAACCAAGTTTATCCCACAGCTGGGACCAGGAGACATTATTCATGCTTCTTCTATCCTATTGTACAGAATTGTATTCCTTCACACGCACACACAAATGACATACATAGGGCGAACAAGCGCAAAATAATGAAAACAGCTTTTCTTTGTGCACTTGCAAGTCTTAGATTAAAAATGCTCACAAGTGCACGTCAGAGGTTGTTGTGAAATGGATCACTGCTCCTCACTCGGGCTCAGATTGACTGACTACTGACTGACTGTCTTTCGTTCTCCTGGGAAAAATTAATGGAGACCTATCAGTTAATTAACAAAGCTTCACGCGGGGCCGTACCAAGGGAACAAGCCCAAGCCTTGCTCACTCGGCACAACACCATCCAAAATTTTCCAAAAAACGTAACCAGGCGTCTCGTTTTTGTTTTCCTCTCTCTCTGTAGATAATTGGTCTCAGATCTAATGCTCCATATCACTGCTGGACTCGAAATACTATAAATTAATTCTATGCCTCTTACAGCCTTGAATCCATGTGAAACAACGGTTAACTATTTAATTTCCCGAGTATGAAAACACACACATACACACACATTTGGATTACAGTTCATTCTAGCCAGGTTTTGATACCGTGTTGTCTCGACACCGCTATAACGGAGAGGGATACGGTGCAGGCGACTGGATTGTCACCTATTTCCCCTCCAGGAACACTCTAGCCCAGGATTTTAGGTCAGAAACCTGGGAGCTGTTCCCTCCTGTAAACCCCTGAACAGGAGTCTTGGGAAGAGAGGGAGGAACTGATCCACTCTGGCCGTCGCTCTGACAATAGCACCGGCGACTGCAAAGCAGAACTGATCAGACAAGTTTGCTGTTGAGGGCTGTTTGATGTAAACGCTAGCGGTTCACCCAGGACCGTTTCTATACCACTGTTGCCCCACTCACTGAAACAAACAGCCACACTGTCTGCCCCCTGTCCCAGAAACAGAAGCAGCTCTCTTACCTGCTAACCTCAGAGCCGACATCCGCTGGAACTCGGGCTCCTGCAGCCACTTCCACATGCGCCGGAAGGTTTCGCGGCCGGATTTGAGTTTACTCCAGGGTTTCGGGTTCCTCAGCAGGTCAGACAGGGTGCCCTGTGAGCGGCACAGTACCCGCTGCGCGAAGATAGCCTGCGGGATGCTGTAGCGTTTCAGCTCGGTGGTGATCCTCTGGGCGATCTCCTTGGTGTTGATCTCCTCCAGCTGCGAGCCCTGAGAGGCCTGGGGGCCGCCGCTAACCGCCGCCGGTGCCCCCTGCTCTGCCAGGCGAGCGGTGCCCAGGCCCTGCTGCCCGGGGCCCTGGGCGTGCGGGTGGACGTGAGGCGGGTGAGGGTGGTGCGGGTGAGGGTGAGGGGGCAGGCCGTTGATGGGTACCATGCCCACGGCCGGGGGACTCAGGTGCTGCTCGCTGCGGGCTAGCATGGCGGGCGGAGCAGCCTCGAAGCCGTTCGGAGTGGCCAGCAGCTTGTCGGTGCTCAGCCCCCCGGTGTGGCCGTACGGTGCCAGGCCGTGCTGGCTACTGTGCAGGGTACCCAGGCCGTTGGTCAAGGGTGAGAGGCTGGGGCCGACGCCTGGCATTTCCTTGTGGTAGTGGCTGTAGAGATTGTTGAGGGAAGACAAGCCTCGGTCGTCCCGCATGAGAGTGAAGCTGCCGCTGAGATTACTGGGCAGCCTCTGTTGGTGTTGTTGGTGTTGTTGGTGCTGGTGGTGATGGTGATGGTGATGGTGATGGTGGGGGAACTTGTCCGAGACAGTGGAGATAGGAGGCAGCGGCTGCAGAGGGGTCAGGGTAGTGTACGTGCTGCTCATACTCATCCCGGGCGGCGTCTCGCAAGCCATGGTCATGGTAGGGTGCAGAGCGCCGGCCAAGCCATGCTCCGGGGCCCGGTGGTAATCTCCGTCCAGGATCGAAGCCATACTGGAGACCAGCGAACGGGCGGACGGAGGCAAGCCGCGGTGGCCGAGCGGCCGGCTGTGTGGGCTCGGGCTGCTCATCAGCTCTCCCGCTGACACCGACTGTTCATGGGGCACCCCCTGTAACTCGCCCAGGTTCTCCATCGACAGCTGAGCGTTCATGACTCGCCGAAGCGTTTACACCGACCATCTATCTGGCGTGGCGCTGCCTCATCTCCACATGCAACGATGGTCAGAGTCGCACCTTTGCACGGAATTCATTCATTCATTTATTCACTCACTCCCAATTTTATCTATTGTTCCCCCCCCCACTTCATATATATATACAGATACAACCCTCAATTTCTCCCCCTTTCTCTCTTAACCCCCCTCCCTCCCTCCCTCCCTCCCACTGTTTTCCTCCGTCCCTCCCCCCACTCAAAGCAGCAGCCTCGGTCCGAGCTCGCTGCTTTCCCTCTCCGTCTCTCCAGCCATGTCCTCCCTGTGTGTGTGTGTGTGTGTGTGTATTTGCTCCACTCTCTCTCTCTCTCTCTTTCACCCAGCCCCCCTCCCTCCCACCCTCCCCCGTGTCTCTGGCCCCAGCCGCCACCGCCGTTTCTGCTGCAGCTTCTCCCTATCCCCTCCCCCGCAACAACTCCTTCCCAGTCACAACCCCCACCTCCCACCCATACCCCTACCCCCCCACCCAGACCCTGCGCACTCACCCTCTGCGCACCGCCCTGACATCAGGCGACCAATCACAACGGGCCATTCACTTCCGGGTTTCCCCATGTCAACAGAGAGATAGAGCAAAGAAATCTAAGCGCTGGAGAGATGTCCAATAGTCACACACACATACACACACACACACATTGTACATTATATATATGTACAGCCTAGCCTGTTTCAAAGACAAACCTGAATTTAAGGCTTACACTGCACTGCCTTCTCTTTTCGCCTCCCTACATCCCGTTCCAAAACACTGTCCCCCCCCTCCAAAACACAACACATACCTTTATTGAATTCAACAGCAAAAATGTGCTGCCTCTAGCTGTCTCTTTGTACAAGCCTCTCATTCTTGTTTCTTTTTGTTCATTTCCGTTGCGTCTTTATTTGCAATCTAACGTATTTAGATATTTTAGCCACGCAGACATTGGTTCAAACCGACTCGAAATTGATCGTTTTCATAGGAAAGACAAGGGCTGCATTGCTTCAAGGGGACCAAGTCCAAATTCTACAGTCGCCTCATTAAGAGGTGGTTCGCTTCTCGGGTGCCACGGCCCGTTAATTCCGCGAATTTCATCACACACACACACACAATCATTCACACACACACACACACACACAAAACATCGGGAGCAGTCCTTATCTCTCGTTCCTTGGGGGAAACCAAGTTGATGCAGTAGCAGCTTCTACTGTACCTCAGGGTGTAATCGGAAAGAGCAGACTCGCACCATCTCGCTGCTCTGGGTTGCGGGAAAGAGAAGGGAGGGGGAAGGGGTAGGTTGCTTGCAAAAATACAAATAATAAATGAAACCCTCGAATTTGGGTGTCCCAGCAGTTAATCAGGAGGCGGACATTCCGAGCTGAAATTCCAGCTGCAAGACGCAGGTGTAAAGCGCAGTCAAAAACTGGTTGCAACATGTTTAGCTAAATTTGTATAATATATGTTTGATCAATAAACTGGGCTTGGATAGGCCAACAAAAGGAGATGATGTAGATTTAATTAACCACACAAGTCACTTCTGACGACTACAGTGCAACAAAATTGGCAAACAAATTAAATGAAAGAGAAAAAAAAAGCTCCGAGCCACGGATCTATTTTGAAGGAGGCATTTGACTCCTGGTACTTCACTAGATTCCTTTAAAAATATATATAGAAGGTCGATTCTTATCGGCAAACAATTAACACAACTACGTGTCTAAGTTACGACAGCAGCAATTGGATTTTATTTGGAAAAGGAACGTTAGCCGACACATGCCACTGTTGCTGTTTCATGCACGGTCCCGATAAGGTGCTGAGCAAAAGCGGGACATATGTGCCCATTGTTCTAAGATTAACAATAACAGATGAAGGCAGACAAGAGTTTGGAAAATGTGGCTCAGTTCTCGCAGGCGAACCGCGGGAGGGAACGGAATTATGACATAACAGATTATGATATTTGACTGAATCTGAACGGATTTACATGAAATTGGTCAAATTGATTGGATAGCGTAGTGTCGAATGAGGGTATAAGTGAGTAAAGTGTCGAAAAGCCCCTTGCACGAGTAGGAGTCCTTCAAGCTCTCTTTTTATCTCAGAGAAATGAGCACTATTACTATGCTAGTAATTATGACGTGACAAAATACAGGACATAACATTCGCAACACAATAGATGAACAGATCAGAGATAGTAGGACAGATAGATGAACAGATCACATCAATGCAGCAACAACATATCTACTGTTTAATCAAAGCCCACTTTGCATCATCATGGACACATTACTTACATCATTAGGCCATTATCCTATAGGTCTATAGCCACGATTGTTTCTATCGGTTATTTGAAATATATCTTCGGTAACAATTAAATCATCAGTGTAAAAGACAACTGTGTTTCAAGTACTGGTGGACAGCAATTTCATCGAGTTGTAACCTGGCTTCTGATTTTAATTGTATTAACGTAGTGCATGCTTGATGCAATACCTGTGATGGGACAATTGTGGGCAAAAGCGGACTTGCTTATAATCCAGTCAGTGTAATATGATGGAAATACTGGGGCCTAAAATCAATTAGCTTATGAGTGGACTTTGCCACAAATGGGCTTAGACTGGATTTGCAACTGCAGGTCGTTTTTTTTTCTAATTTTCGATTCATAGTTGACTTGCCGAACATTTAAGGGAAAAAAATGATTGAGAATACTGTGTTGGGCAAAATATCTTACTGTACGTTACGACAAAATACAATTTTTTTTTCATTGACCTATTCTTAAAATCCAACATTTATCTGTATTACTTACACAGAAGAATACCTGTGTTTGTGCAAGTATTTTGGGGGGATGTGAGGGTTAATTTTTGGGGGGTACGGTGCAATCAGCATATTTAACAGCAAACTGGTACTGGTCAGGATCCAAAAGCTGACGTTAGTTATTCCACAGGGCAAAAAAGGACTGTTATGGGCACATTTAAGCAGCATCTTGAACAGGCATCTTATGGCCCTCCTTTTATGGGGTTTGCAGTGGTCATTTGGTGGAGGTCTGTCCTGATTGAAAAGGGACATGTCAAAGGTGACGCTTCAACACTCCAAGAGCCAACAGCTGCCGTTTCAACAGATTAACCGGCGACTCTTTTTTTTTGTACTTTTTGCCTGTTGAGCTTCTTGGAAGCGACTTAGTCACAAGAAAACACACATCTGTCAGTCGAGAAAAAAAAACACAAGAACTGAGCCAAGCACCGATGCATTTTAGCGAATTAAATCTTATCTTTGTACATTAAAGAACCTGTCCTTTAATAACAATTAGGTCAAATGTGCCATTTAAAAATGTAAACAATACAGATTAAATATTGACAGTTTCCCATTTGTTAAAGATCTCTGAGAAACAGAACACGAGTGTCAAGAGAACAAAGTGCTTCTGAAATTAAGATAACTCATAATATTGAAAAGAATATTGAAAATGTCTTCAATTACTATTTCGCAGACTTTGACGTGTTGTACAGTATTTCCATGTTTCATTCTCTTGAACCCTATGTTAAGAAAACAAACACAAGCTGGACTCCAGGTGCCATCCAGTGTAAATATCTGTCGAGTTGATGCATTAATGACATATCGAATCAGTTGTTATCCTTAAATATTTTGAAATCAGTCTGTGGTAACTAAGTACTTAAATGCAGTTTATTTTTGAACATATCTTCAACTGTCTATTGTTGTGACGGAAAGTATGCACTGACATCAGATTCTGGCAATGATGCTTTTACAATGCAAATACTTGCCTGATTCAAGTTAATAGATTTACACAGCTCGTCCTCAGACTGCAGTGTATGTACTGGCGATGGTGGAAGTATTTTTTTGATGGAAATAGATAGACCTCTCGCAGGAAAGGAGAAGCCAGTCCCTGCCCGAAAACTGCATCTGTTCGTATTCTCATACTGATCGATATTCTTCATTCACCCTTACGTCTCTGCAGCTTGTAAATGGAAAATTAGACTCTTGTTGATATTCACTCAGGCGAATCTTATTTGTGTTAGAACGCAAGTTTGCCGCATATGTTTTGTGACCGAATTAAAATAGATAAAATGGTCGTGACCCGATGGTACCTCTTCCACTGCAAGGGGCTCGGGCGCAAGCCCAAGCAGCCCGACGGCTAACACAGGAGGATCTTTTTCCTTCTTTAAAAAAGACACGTGACAATTAATTTAGAAGGGGATTAATTGGTGCAAAACCCCGCGTTATTAATATGTAGCCACAACATGAATTCGCATTGAAAACGAACAGGTCCCTCAATCTGTGGGTAACTTGTTTCAATATGGATTTCACACGAATGGCAAATCGTTGTCACTTCTCATTTAATTGCAAAATTACGATATAAATATTAGCCATGTTGTCACTCTAAGGTCAAATCCCAAATTCCCGCATTGATTTTTTTTTAAACAGGCACATTCGATGAATATCCAGTGTTGACCAATGCTTTGAGACTTCAATCCTTATATTAAAGCTTTTCCAGAAATATGTGTCGTCTCTTTTTTTAAAACGAATCTGTTTGATGCATGAATTATTAAAACCTTTCACGCGCATGTTCTACTAAATTGTGTTTGCTCACTATTTTGTAACTAGTAACAAGTGTTTCGCTTTCATTTTTGTTTTCACTTCAATTCTACGGAATCATCTACAGTCCCTCTCGTAGATATTCACGAAAATCAATGCTTGAGTAAGGAGCTCGAATTAACTTGTTTTAATTAGGCACCCCACTTGGGGGAAGTCATACATTAATTGCATTTTTGCCACTCTAAGCACTGGAGCATAAAGCCGGTTTCCACTGCACTAACAATGTGGAAGGCGGCTACAAGCAAACACAGGAGAGAGTACAAACCCATGGTTCGTGTTGCAGTTGGGCCTAAGTATAAAAGGAGCACATAGGCTAAATGTCCAGGTAGATCTATTATTGTCTGCAGAGTATTAGTTCCCAAACACCACTAATGTAGACTGC